TTTTCACTGATATGTCTCCTAAAGCAAGGGACGAAAAGGGAAAGAATAAACAAGTGGGACCTCATCAAAATAAGAAGCTTCTGCACGGCAAAAGAAAACATCAGCAAAATGAAAAGGGAGCCAATGCTATGGGAAAATATATTCGCTAATGATACATCAGATAGAGGTTTGATCTCCAAGATATATAAAGAACTCACTCAACTCCACTCCAAGAAGACAAACAATCCAATCAAAAAATGGGCAAAGGACCTGGGAAGACGCTTTTCCAAGGAGGAGATACAGAGGGCCCAGAGGCATTTGAAAGGATGCTCAGCATCACTAGCCATCAGAGAAATGCAGATCAAAACCACCATGAGGTACCACCTCACACCGGTCAGAATGGCCATCATAAACACATCAACAAACAACAGGTGCTGGCGAGGCTGTGGAGAAAAGGGAACCCTAGTCCACTGTTGGTGGGAATGCAGACTGGTGCAGCCACTGTGGAAAGCAGTGTGGAATTTCCTCAAAAAGCTGAAAATGGAACTGCCTTTTGATCCAGGGATTCCCCTGCTGGGACTATACTCTAAGAACACCAAAACGCCAATACAAAAGAACCTATGCACCGCAATGTTCATAGCAGCACAATTTACAATAGCCAAGTGTTGGAAGCAACCTAAATGCCCATCAGTAGATGACTGGATCAAAAAGTTATGGTACATATACACAATGGAATACTACGCAGCAGAAAGAAAAAAAGAACTACTAAACTTCGCAACAGCATGGATGGAACAGGAGAGCATTATGCTAAGCAAAATAAGCCAGGGGGCAAAAGACAAATACCATATGATCTCACCTATAAGTGGAACCTAACCAACAATACAAAGATACAAGGAAAATAAGACCAGCAACACTGAAAGGAAAAGAAACCAACAGAGACAAGACGGACAGAGGAAGGGGAGGGCAGGAGAAAAGGAAGGGAAGGGGCAAGTCAAGGAACATATAGCAAGGACTCATGGACAAAACCAAAGGGGAAGAGCTGAGGGAGGGAAGAAGGGAGGGGGCAAGGGAAAGTGGTGGGGGGTAGGCAGAGACAAATGTATTTGAAAAAATAAAATAAAATTTAAAAAAAATAAAAATAAAAATAAAATTTTCACTACTTCTAAAAATATATGTCCTATCTAGACATTTACAGAAAAGCAATTACATTTGCACATAGCACAGGATGATATAGACATTCAAACCAAATTCCTGAAATCATACATATTTCCATTAATAATCTATTGAATTAAGGTAAGAATCAGAAATGGTCAAGTATCATCAGTTTATAGTTCAACTTTAGTGTAAGAGATGTAAAAAAAAAGCTTTACCTTGATTACAGTGACCCTATTAGCTTAGACAAAAATGAAATACAGTTTTATGGGAGGAATACTTATCCTGCAACACTTACCAGCAATCAAGAGACTGACTCTTTCAATTGGTTCAACATGTGAGATGGTTTTTCATCCAACATGACAATTTACTACTATAATTTCATCCTCAGTTCCCAGTTTTTCCCATCTCTGACACAATATGATTTCAGATTAACAATATATTAACTAAATGCTTACCATGTGCAAAGTTATATTCTAGGTATTTGGGATTTCCTACCATCTCATTCTATGGTTTCCTATGAAGTATCATCAAGCTAAAAGATATAGCAAATAGCCGAAAAATATCATTTGACTCAAAGAATATATTAAATGTATTTCCATTAAAAGCACAAAAAAATGGTAAAAAGCTCTCACTTTAGAGAATAAAAATAGCTAACTTTAAATAGGTTAAATCAGAATCAAAATTTCATGAACAGTAACGCTGGTAATCTATTCCAAGCAACAGATTTTAGAAAGTAAAATATAACTTTCTCTTCAAGTGCTACATTCATTGTTGTAAAAATTTTAAGACATGTTAATGAAAAATCAATAGGAGACCCAAACCATGGGTTTGTTTTCTTTATGCACTAAAAATACTTCTTTGTGGTCCTCTATTCCCCAGTCACTCAAAGTGTGATCTGAGACCAGAAGCACCATTCTTACCAAGGTGCTTGTTAAAAATGCAGAATCCGAGACTCACCCCCAACCTGCAGAATCAGAATCATGAGTTTCATGAATTCCCTGAAATTTCATGCAGAACTTTTTGCAAGTGAATATATGCACATTTTACTGGGGAAAGATTCCATATACTTTTTTTTCAAACTCTCAAAGTAATACATTACCCCAAATAGATTAAGAACCACTGTCCTACAGGATTCTATGCCACAGTTTAAAAGTCAAAATATTTCACAAACTATTTACGCTGCTCTCAATGAGGTCTGTTGAAGAATGACAAGAATGAAGGTCAGAACGTCACAGTGGGTCACGAAAGACCTTATCTGAAGAATTTATTCACACCATGCAAGAACTATGCCAAGAAACCAGTTTGAAGACATCTAAATAAATAATTCTCTACATGAGGTTTGAGATTAAGAATGTGCACTTGAAGAAGAATCAAACTGAGAAGTAAATAAATATAAAGTAGAAATTTTTTAAGATAGGATGCCATTAGATGACAGCGAAGTGCTGAATTCTTGTTGTAAGAGCGCAATCAGCAAATCTCTAATGTGAATTCTGTTTGATTTGGGATGTGGGAGCATTTTAAAAAGTTACTTCCAAGTACATTCTTCTAATACTTCCTTTATGAGGAACCCCCAACACACTTTACTAGTCCCACTTTCTTCATCTTCTCTGGACCTCAGAATATAAAACAAAGAAGAAATATGACACAAAAATTAAAAGGGATGTACTCAGGATAGCCAGTGAGTTAATGATAAATAATGGCTCCCATGCAGAAGGTTCTCAGTGACATATGAGAACTGTGTATATATTTCATTCTTTTATCTTATCACCTAACCATCTCTTTGGGCTGTGTATTACTTCTAGGAGCATGGACTATGTCTAACTTCTGTTTCCTTAAACCACACTGCCTGGTAGAATTTCATTTCCTTGACAGGTACCTAAAATGTAAATCAGGGGTATTAACTGGTCTTTCTTGAGACTGATTCTTTATTGTATTATTACTGTAATGTGTCATTAGTGATGAGGCTAACACCTGACAGTCTAGTCTCCAGGGTGAATCTATATCCTACCATATCAGTCATTCCAGGCAAGAAGAGAGAATACTAGAAAAGTATCAGGGGGCATCTTCAACATGACAAGAAAGGGGCATTTTCTTTGCCCCTTTCTATTTCCATGGGTATCAGGCAAATATCTGATTCTTTTCTTAGATCTGTTTCTTGGAGCTATTAAAAGTTCTTGTGCCTTGGACAGCATGGCTCAGTTGGTTGGAGCACCATCCCATAACCAAAGGGTTGCAGGTTCAATTCCCCATCAGGGCACATGCAAGAGACAATCAATTGATGCTTTTCTCTTGTATCAATGTTTCTTTCTCCTTTCCTCTCTCTCTCTCAAAAGGCAATAAAAAAAAAGTCCTCGAGTGAGGGTTTTAAAAAAAAGTTCTTGTTATCCAAGTACAATAGGGATTACAATAAAACTTTCACACATTGTTAGCTATTAATGTACCTCATTTACACAATAGGCATAAATGATAAATGCAATTATTCACTTATATTGTAGAACTGTGTCCTCTCAAAAATGATAACTATATAAAAAAATGTAGAACCTTACACATATAATAGTCTCTCAGACATTCAATCAAATGTAAATGCTAGTATTTTAGACACATAATTAACTTGGTTATTTGGTTATTTGCTTTTCTGCCTAAACAATTTAAACAGTAGCAATTTGATTTTTGACATGAGAGAGGAATAATAATAATGACAGGAATACATGGCAGTGATAGTTAAGAAGTGAGGAAGGAAGTGTAATGAAAATAGGGCAGAAACTAACATCTACATAAACCACCTTTTACAGTACAGGCACTTGTGCAAACCTATGGGGACAGACAATATTGTCTTTACTTGACAGATGAAGTCACTAAAGTTCCAACAGATTAAACAATTACCTAAGATTATGAAGTTAGACAATGACAAGTTTGGGGGAAGAGGAGAGTAACGAGAGTAGTTAAGTGTAAGAGCAAAGGACAAGGAAGTGGATGAGACAGTGAACCCAGTTTTATCTGGAGAAACAATAAAAAGGAGACAGCATTTAAAGGCAAAGAGGTTAACTGAGTATAGGAGTAAATGGTTCCACACATATGTCCCTAAACATTTTTAAAGAAAATGATATGATTATAAATGCTAATTTTTTAAAAAGTAATGGTAGAGCCAGGATTTGTCCGCCTCCAATGGTCATGCTTCAACCACTACACTCACAGAGAAAACTAATCCCGTTATACAAATAAGTATTTACAAAAACATTTTTTAACAGGAAATCTCATGTCACAGTAGTTTTATTTTTAAAAACACATTAAGCTTCCAACAACAAAGGAAGATATAAAAATATGTACTAGTTAAGCCACTTAATCTTTCTTTTTATGAATATGACACAGATCTAATCTAAGAGGTTACAGATATGTCACAAAATTCCCAGATTCTCTGTCATCACTCATACATTTATTTCCTCCAGAAATGTATTGTCAACTTTCTGGAAACTTTTTATATGTTCAATCTGAACCAAGGCTAAGAAATTCCTTTGTTCATTCCCCACTGTTTAAAGTAACATCTTTTATTTACCTCAAGAAACTTTTTCTAGCTCAGTGGAGGTCTCCAGATCAGGTAAGCTCTACTCTTCCCTTACTGTAGTACTTACCCAATCACTCCACAATCAAAAAACCCTGAAACCTATTTTCAAGAAAAGAATTAGAATCTAAAGTATCTTAGCGCATCTTTGGATTCCTTCAATTGGGACCTGTTTGTATTTAAAATGATATCTAATTCCAGAATATCATAAAAGCTGTATTAAGTAAATAGGTTCTTCACCACATCTCAAACATACTGTATTTAAACCTAACAAGAGATTCACATCCCTTGTTCAAATTTTAGTTACCTCTTCATCATCTTCATCATCTTCAACATCCAGAATTCCTGAATCCTGTTCCGACTTGGGGCTAGTGCTTTCTAGCTCTGTATCAAAAATTGTATACGCATCTTTCTTAGATTTTCTCTTGCTCCCTATTCTGGGTTGTTGCAAGACGATGTTATCCAGGTTTCTTTGTTGTTGAGCCTACGATAAAAACATAAACACTCAGTTTTGAAAAAAGAAAAAGGAAAGAAAACAATTAAGCATTTGAAAAAAAAAATCTGATTTTCAAGCCCTGACCAGGGAGCTCAGTTGCTTAGAGAATCATCTCAATATATCAAGACTGCAGGTTCAATCTCTGGCCACGGCACATACAAGAAGCAACCACTGAATGCATAAATAAGCAGACACCTTACTCTCTCTCCAATATCAACAAATTTTTTAAGAAAATTTCTGATTTTCAACAAATTGGTATCTTAAAGAAAGTTACTTAATACATAGTTTTAGTCCCAGAAATAAACCCAAACATATTAATGTATACATTTTTATCCCTGAAGTTACCCTCTTGATTCATTTTTCCAGTTTTCATAGAAAAAAAAAGATAATCAGTGACTTTAGTCACTACTCAGGAAACTGAGGCTATAAAACAAAAGATTTGGATGAGGTCTAGTTAGTAGTAAATCAGAATCTTGAAGTGTGACCTTTCCAAATTCCACATCAGTGATCTCTCCATGATACCAGCAGTCCCCCAAAGCACGGCAGCATGTTTCTCAAAAATGGGGACATTCTGTGATCAAATAAATGGGAAATACTGTATATAATGTAGCCTTCTTGTAGATATAGAAAGCTTATCAACAAAGTAAAAAATGGGGTAAGTCCATTTTAAGAAAATTCTTTAATTTGATTTAACCCAGCATGTTCCAAAGATATTTCCCAATGGAACTTTCCCTTTAAAAAAATACTACTACTACTTAGTATCATCCCAAAATACAAAGACTGAGAACTGTGACTTCTCAGAATATATATTCTTTAACGAATATATGATATTTCTTCTCAGTGACAGGAGAAAATCAGTTTCCAAATATTCTCAATGAGATTAAGAAATTCAAGACAAATATTAAGTATAAGATGTTAGTCCAGACCCTGGTTAAATGAGACAATTACAATAAGACAGAGAAAAACTTGAACTATGTGAGCTAGTTTCTGCCAAGAAAATGAAAAGAATCTACATTCCAGAGATTTTAATCAATGAACAAACTTGTTTCTCTACATAGTACTCACTGATATTTTGCTTCGACTTACATAAAATAGGTGGCTTTGGGAACAAACTGAGGTAGAAAAGACATTCAAAAACATTCAATTTAGATTTGTACATAAGATATACATATCCTTCAAGCATTAGAAACCCCAAATTAGATACAATTTTTTCCTCTCAAAAGTAACAAGTCCTTCCCTATTACTTCTAAAGTAAAACATAAAAAGGGATCAAGAACTCTGGGGATGTGCCACGGGAGAACTTCCTAAAGCTTTCATATTTTTAAAAAACTGCCCTTTAACTCCATTCTCTCTTTCAGTACAGCATTACCAAAAGCTTCCATAAGTTGGTCTTATTTTATTGAATCGCAAGTTACTTATTTTTCTTTCGCAGTCAATAAAATAGTGCCAGTGTATCAAAAGCAATCAGGAGAAGTCACATTTAAAATGCTGTCATTTAAACTTGAAATGAAAGAAATCTAAAAGTATTCTATGGAAGTAGTTTTAGCTCTCCTATGACTTGCTCTTTTTAGGTGGTATTATCTCATTTTCCCATCAATTTGGAGGAGTGCAAATTAAGATAGCAAACCCTATGTTAGAAATCAAAGCATTTCAAGTAGTATTCCAAAGCTCCATCAGAACCTGGGGTCTCTGTTAGAATTACCAAGCCTCTTTCATTGTGTAAAGAAGCAGTTAGGGCACATCTGCCAAGCAGGAACTGGCCAATTTAGAAACACTGAATCTCAGGTAGAACAATAAAATAAATACTCAGATGTTACCCATTATGGCTGTAAATGAAAATTACCACCTATTGGGAATGTGTATTACGGGGCTGGCGAGAAGTGGAAAAGAGTAAATATAGATATAAACATATAAATATATATGAGGCCTGTCCATAAAAAGTCTAGCCATTGTTCATATAACAAAAAATGGTTTGTGTGACATTTATGTAACCTGGCAGCCAAGAGAAGTGCACTGGAATGTGCACACGTGAACAATGATGACTTCACTGTACTAGTCAGTGAGGGCAGTAGAGGCCCTTGAGAGAGCCTGTGCACTGTGTGGCCCTTACATTCAAACTGACTGAGTAAGTACAGCAACGAATCTGCATCAAATTTTGCATTAAGCTTGAACATTCCTCCACGTATACTATTCAGATGATTCAGAAAGCCACAGCTATGGGCAACTGGTGATTGGCAGCTTGCTCATGACAACACGCCTGCTCATGCATCTCTTTTTTGGCGGAACATCAAATCACCCAGGTGACTCAGCCCCTCTACAGCCCAGATTTGGTGCTCTGTGACTCCTGGCTTTTCGCAAAACTAAAATCACTTTTGAAAGGAACGAGATTTCAGACTGTCCACGAGATTCAGGAAAATACAACAGGGCAGCTGATGGTGACTGGGAGGAGAACTGCATGAGGTCCCAACGTGCCTGCTTTGAAGGGGACTGAGGCATCATTGTCCTATGTACAATGTTTCTTGTATCTTGTTAACTTCTCCAATAAATGTCTCTATTTTTCATAGTATATGGCTGGATACCTTCTGGACAGACCTTGTATATTAAAATAAAAAACCCAAAAGAGGAAAAAAGAACAAAACAGTAAACACCCTTCAAAGCTCTCTTCTAACACATTGAACTATATCACCAGAACCATTTAGTCTGTCCCCCTAGAGATAGCCTTTACAATCATGAGCCAAAGCAGCAGCTGCCTGATTTCTGCCACCTGGGTGGAAGTGGAGTCAGGAGGATATGAAGCACACAAGTAGCAGTTAGATCTTAGTGCTTCGGCATTTTCTTTTTCTTAGTTGTTCATTATCGTTGTGCATAATTTTTACACATTCAGCCACCTCTTCCTCAAGGTTCCCTCATATATATTCTTCTCTGGTTTCCTAATACATAGAAATTAAGCAAGCTTTATTCCTCCATCTCTCTCCTCTTACCACTCTCCCAAGATCAAATAACACATCTCCAGCTTCCTATTATTACTGTGTGCTCTAGCATCACCTCCCTTCCAGACTAGCTAAAATGGAACTCATCGCCTTCTCATTATAAATCCCCTGCATACTGCGGCCAAGCTCCTCTTAAACCACATCATTCATCATACCAATTAGGCATAAAGGAAACTGGGGAAAAAGTTTAAACAAGTACAAATCCAAACTCCACAATCTGTCACTTAGACTCCACCATAACGGAAGCTGAAGCTAATTTTCCAATGTACCTATATCCAGCGGTCTCCAACATGAATCTTCCACTTGAATCAGACTCTACCTCATAATATACTAGGTATATTTCCACTTCTGTAGCTCCAAGAAATGATCCCTTTCTGCCTGAATCTAACCTTTCTTTCTAATCTAACCAAAATTCTTCCATCTTTAGAAAGCCTCCTCTCACTGGCCTAATTCATGGTGCTTTCTCTCTCTATTCCTATTTTCAGTCAAACATATACTGAATGTCTGCTTGGTACCAGGCACTGTGCTGCACACAAGGTATAGAAAGAAAAACATAGAATCTCTGAGTCATGAACCTCACATCAAACTACTGTGGAAAGCAGATCAGAAAATAAGTGGCTGAAATTCCATGCCATAAGTATAATAATAGAAATAATACAGAGGACAATAGTTTAACAAAGGAGAAAGTGATGAGATTTGCCTGGAGGGGTGTCCTGAAAGGCTTCACAGAGGAACAGGTAGCACGTTCTTAAAATATAAATATAATCTTTCCAAAGGGAGGTAAGAAAAAGGGTAACTAACCATCCCAGAAGAAGGAAAGCACATGAGAAAGGCTGTGTGTGAAATAACACTACCCACCCAAGGAATTTTGTATAGGAACATAGTTTATAAAGAGCGAACAACAGATAAAGATGTCATGCAAAGCAGTTTCAATGCTTAGCTAGTTGGCAGTGGAGACACAATGGAGGAGTGTGAGCAAGCAGATGACAGGAGCAGCATTACCATTCGAGCAAATGCTCTAAGGTCAGAGGAGTGCTCAACCGGGAGAAGACAGAGACTAGACACAAAACAAAACAAAACAAAACAAAAAACCCCATACAGATCACTGTAACAGTCGAATACCAATGGAGAGGACTTGAATTAAGGGAGCAACTGATATATGAGAGGAAGAAGCACAAGAATTTACTGATTTGAATATAGTACATAGAAGACAGGAAGGAAATAAGAACTCTACATATTCGGCCCTTGATGACTAGATGGTGGGGTTATTCCAAACAGTGGAAACCACAGAAATAATAAGCTGAGAGCAGAACAGAGGAGATGGGGAAGACTTCAGTAAACCTGTCAGACACCGATGTAAACAAATGACAGTACCACACTTCAGTATGTAACTCTTCTTTCTTTGAGAATACAAGAGCACTTTACCATTCTTAGAATCCCCAAAGCCCAGACACAGTGACACATATACACTAGATTTAGATAAATGGTTACTATATGAAAGATAACAAAATAAATCTATGTGAGAATGAGACCTAGCCCAATAAAAGAGAAGGGTGTCTGCAAAAGATGGGATTTAGATATTCTCCTATTAAAAGAGGAAGAAAACCCATAAAATCCATAAGAATTATCTAATCTGGACTATTAACCTAAAAATGTTGCTATTAACACTTTACAATTGTCAAAGAGTGTCTATGAGGCATTTTATATATAAAAAAATTATGTATATATATTTATAATATACATACACACATATACGTACAGTACACATACATACAGGGTCTGGCAGAAGTAACACCTGCTGAGTTTGGTTGGTAGGGTAATAATAATATGGGTTTAATTTGAACATTTCACCTAAAACATCATATGGTGTGCTTGAGTATGATATTGTTATGTTACAGAATTACATGCTTATAATTTTGTAATAAAAGATTTTGTAATAAAAAGGGGCGTTATTTGTGCCATTCTCTCTCTATATATGTGTGTGTATATATATGTATT